GTCATTCTGCTGATAGAAATTTATGATTTCCTGTTAAAATTTAATGAAGGCGATTAGAGCTATATTTGATTTTGTTTGATCAATTCGATCGATATTTTTTCCTTGAATATTCCTCATTGATTTTATATTCCTGTATTGGTGTAAGCGATTAAATTTATGTTAGACGACGAAGAAAAATGATCTCATCATTTGTGCGTTCGTAATAATTGTAAAGGATCTTCTTACGTAGGTACATTGTGTAATAAATTAATTGGATTCTCTCTTTCCTCTACTCTTCTACATTACCCCATAAAGCAACTCATTCGGGAGTGGCACTAAATATATAGGTCAGATTCTTTATCTTTTTTCAAGGATGATTGACTTACATTACACGGCTCGTGAACATTAGGATTTCTTAAAACATCCGACGGAAATGCGCCGAAGAGCGACCGGTGAACATCTGACGTTAAGTTTGCTAATAGTAGACCGGAAAGTGTTTTCTCTTAAAAAACAAAAAAGAAAAAAATATATACATTGACCATGAAACATTAGTCGAATTCAATGTAGTAACCTCATGTCAATTAACGAGTAGAAATATTTTATAAAAGGAAAAAAAAAAGATCATGAATACTCGTATCTTTCTTTCTTTCTCTTTTTCTCTCTTTTTTTCTTTCTTTTGTTGCACTATAGTCTTTGGAATCAGAAGATATCGCGGTAACGTCAGAGTTTGTTGGGATAATATTATCTTATATACGTATATACGCGTTTACAGATAACTAATCGAATACCGTATGACGAATAAGTTAAGACTAAAAACGACGAATCAAATCAAAGTGTAAACAAAAACTCGATCGCCCACAGGCTTAACTTTCACGAACAATGAACGTTAAAAGGAACATAAATCTTTCTCGTCAATGAATTTATCATAGTCCATAAAAACGTGACACATTCACAAGTTGAGCTCTTTATAAAACACCGTGTGCGCATACATATTGTTCTTTATTTATGTTCTTTCTATTACATTACAAAAAAGTTTATTTATTAATACAGCGATGGATCCATTTAAAGTGATTATTCCATTAAGGGGTTGGATTCTGGCGTGACTATCGTGGTGGTTCGAAAAGAAATAAGAATGTGGAGAAGATACCACACCCTTCCGAAGGCCTCGCCCTTATTTAGGTGTGCCCTTGTTGGTTGTTGCACTTTCTACCCTCGGTAACGACGACCTGTAAACACAGGGCTATTACTTTGTCCGTTTTCACGCGATAAGGCTTTATACTTTGATAAAAACCGACCACATACAAAAAGAGAAAAAAGAAAAGAGGAAAAAAATATATCAACGGAAGATAAAATGTCCCTTAGTGTATTATGATCCATTGTGATAAATTTTATCTAGGATACCTTTTTCAATATTTCCCGATGATGATAAGCGATCTTTGGATAATTTGGATAATTTGCAAACGTCTGGATTATTCGTTTCTACGAATTTTTTCTTTTTTCTTTTTTTTTTTCCTTTTTTTTTTTTTTTTCATTTCTCACCCCACTCTCTCGCCCTTTCCCATGGGTATACGAATATTCTATTTCCTGAAATAACAATAAAGTCGCTTCGATTTGTTGCATCGAGCATCTATCTCTCGTGCACTTCCGCTCGAATTTACTTCCACCACAAGGTAATTTAATTCGACTTCCGGCGGAACTTTGATCGCCTAAGCGTAACTTAAAAAAAATGATCGGGAGATGTAGATATAAATAATCGTGACTTTGTTTTTCGAGACTCTTTCAAGTATTGTTCTTCTTCTTCTACGTCTTCTTCTACTTCTTCTAAGAGTTTCTCGCTTCTGTAAAAACATGTGTACTATCAGCTGATTGGATCATAAGCGATAATGATGGTAAAAAGTTTAAGAAGAAACGAAGAAAAAGAAATATTTAATAGTTCGTTTACAGTTGGCAATCATGTTCAAAATTATACGCGCTAACATAAAAAGAAAGTTGCACACGCGTCTAGGTATTAATGCTTTCCTTGAAAAGTTATTTCCTTGAAACGTTAGTTAAATAAGCACGATCAGATCCCATCCACCCCCGGATCCTTTCTTCTTTTTAGCTTATTTTCATACTATTAATGTTCATTTCGATTGATCTTTTTAGATCTGATATAGAAAGTCAGGAAAGTTATCCAAAAAAATCCAAGTTAAGTATAATACTTCCGTTCCGATACAATTTGTTCTCTTATTTGAAATAAGAGAATTGAAAGGGGGAGGGAGGGGGGAAGGAAAACGAAGAAGAAGAAAAAAATAAGAGAAAGTAAAACAAGAAAAAAAAATTGAAATTGAAATTCTTAATTGATTTATTTAATACCGTTCTATATCCTTTCGATCGTGATGATTCAATATCGTTAAATCTAAGAACGATCAAATGGTTGAGTACGCTTGTATATTTACACTGACATAATTAACGACATACACACACACACACACACACACACGCATACATACAAGATGTCAATTATTATTAAAAATTGTTCCGGAAAAAGAACGTGGCTCGTAATCTGCCTGTTACACGCAAGAGTTTTTGCCGCTTGCGCAACCCTTTCAAACAAGTTGAATCTCACTTGGCATATCGTTTGATTGTAAAAGTGTGTGTGTGTGTGTGTGTTTACCGGTTGTTGTTGTGTTCTAAGTTTGTGCGTGGGTACACTAGCTAGTCAGGTAGTGTCTATCTACCTTCTAATACGAGTCCGTTGCGTAGACGCAATAGAAAACGGTCCTTATATCGCAATTTCTTTACGAAGTTCTAACGCTACGTAAGAGATTGTTCTACGCAATTCATTTCGTCATTTTATTTTTTAACACGTATCTTTTTTCTTTATTTTTTTTTTTTTTTTCGAAATGATCCTCGAGAAAAAAATTATATCTTTTCTTTTCTCTCCCTTCTTTCTCGACATAATTCAATATCAATTGAAAAAGAAAAAAAAAAAAAGAAAGAAAGAAAAAAGAGATAGTACAATACTTTATTATTTGAAAATAATTAAATATGTAGATATCTGGTAATGTAATTAGCGAGAAATAATTATGATTGGTAAGTTTTCTCTCGTTAATGAGAGATAAGAATATAATATAAAGACGTGTAACGTGGTTTTACGGTATTACGACATGACACGAACTAGAAACATTGGTTTCTTCGTTATGGTGTCCGGTTATTGGAACACCATCGCCGACACAGAAGATCTGGAAATTCGAACTTCCGAAAGGGGGACTCAGTACGTGTCTCAAGCGTCATAACTTTGAACTGGTAGAGCGTGACCATCTCGTAGCGTGTGACCTCAATGAACCGAAACTGGTATCATCGATTTACGAACTTATCCACAACGTGATACTAACTATAACATTAACTTTATTTGTACGTATCCTTGTTAAACCTAAATAATTCTTATAGGATTAACAAGCAACCATTGACGCGAGGATACTTGGAACCTATCGTAAATCCATTCGCGCTTGTCGTCTCCTAACAGCTTTCGTTGTATCTCACCAACGAGCACCGGGTGTTCCCTCTTTCTATGTTGATAAAATCTTTTCATCGATACGTTAGTAAAAGGGACATTTGTATATTATTTACGAGAATCGATTATTATTCGATTTGTATTTAAACAGCTGCGAAAAAATGATTGATATACTCTCATTGAAATATCTATAATCATTTGTTACATTTCTATGATTATATATATATATATATACATAGACCGGGTGATCATTTCAAATAAGATCAGCTAAATATCTCTTTAAATATATAAAATATATTTAACGTAATGTGCATGATGTCAAAAGATACCAATATCTGGTAAGAATCTTTTTTTCGGAGTTGTAAAAGAAACGGTGTTTCTTTTATTTTTTTTTTTTTTTATTGCATCGTGTAGCTGATCAAAAAATACATTCAGATATGCATAATAACATGACATTGAAATGATCTTGTTCTTCGAAAAGAAAAGTTTTTCGTAGAACTGATGATGTATATCGATATCGCAGACTTTGACCAAGACTCTTCGTAACAGTGTATGAAATAATTGAAAAATCTTTACAATCGATTATTGAACGTTTCAGGAAATGTATTTTAATATTACGTCGATGACGACAATGACGACGACCGACGATGATATATATACATATATATATATATGTATATATATATATATTATCATACCAATTTCAACTCGCTTATAATACGTAACTACATATGTTATCTTACATATATACATACGTCCGAACGAAATAAGCGCTTGGTATACTACCGAGCACAACTGACGCGAGAGATAACGTGGGAAGCGTCCTTCGTGTATAACGGCCTTCCTGAATTGCGTGAGAGAAGAGAATTAAGCCCTCGTTATATGTGAACTCGTTCTTACGTATGTATATATGTATGTATGAAAGTGTATATGTATATACATATATATATATACATATTTATGTATTAAAATGTAGCAAATAATCGATTATTATATAGACAGACTCTTTCGTTCACTTTTTTGTAACTTTTATTTTTCTTACTTTTTGACTTATTCCTTTCTTCATTCAATTCTAATACTCGTATAAAAATAATCTACGATATTTGACAATCATCGAAACATCATTGACAATATATAACAGATAACATATATATAATTATTTGTATAATTAATTGCAGGCGAGGAAATGTTGCAAATAATAATCGATTGTTATATATCATATTTTGTCTGCTTAAAAAAATTTTTTTTTCATTTAATTTTTTTTTCTTTTGTCTATTCAATTCTAATATAACCGTGTAAGAAATAATTTACGATCTTTCATCATCATTGAAACATTATTCTTTAATATGTACAATAATAGATACATAATATTTGTATAAATTGATTGCAAGTATGGATAAAAAGTCGAGAAGGGTTTTTGGTCTGGTATAGTTGGATTTCAAGTGATTTTTTTATTTTTCTTTCTCTCTCTCTCTTTCTCTCTCTCTCTCTCTTTCTTTCTTTCTTTCTTTCTCGTTGTTTTCAGAATCGCGTATCCATTGAAAGCTTAAACGAGCCCCTGCGGTCGTCGTTCCGAGCTCCCGGCTCTCTGAGAAAGGAAAGCGAACGAATGAACGAATGAACGAACGAACGAACGAACGAACGAACGAACGAACGAACGAACGAGTGAGAGAGCTAGTTGATCTTCTCTCTTTGTCAGGAGAGACCTATTGTCTCTCCCAGGATGGATGGGAACCGCGGCACCTCCGGCACGGATGGTGGATATAGTCTCGGAGATTATTTCTTCGAGTAGGTAGAAGTAGAGGGTAAACCTGTGCTCAGAAATAAACTGTTAAAAAAATGTTCATTTGAGTTATCAATGGAGATAGATTTTCTATTTTTCTCTCTTTGATTTTTCTCTTTCTTCTTCTACATCTTATTAACTTATCTGTGCTGGGTTAAGGAACAAATTGAAAGTATTCGTCTATTTGCCAATGAAGATACGTTTTTTATTTCTATTATTAATTTTCTTTTTACTTTCTCTTCTTTTTCATCGTCTTCTTCTTCTTTTTCTTCTTATTATTATTATTTTTTCAAAACTTACTAATTCATATTTATTTCATCGAGCATGTGTGCAAAAAAAAAAAAGAAAAAGTGGAAAAGATTTTCTTAGATTTTCTTAGATTTTTTTTTCTTTTTTTTTTTTTTTTTTTTTTTTTTTTTTTTTTTTTTTTTATTTAGTGTACCTAACTGTACACCTATCTTCTTCCGTATACGTTAAAAGATTTAATGATAAATCACTTCCCTCGTAAGATGACGCACAATTGTGCCTTATAATGATGATTAATGTTATAGACCAAAGTAATGTTAGGGAAGAATTGATATATAAGAGGGTAACTATGTATATCTGTTGATAAAAATTAAGTCTCTTTACATTGATCATTTCATAGATCCTAATACTAATGGATATTTCTAATGTCTGTCAGTAAGTGTGGATTTTTTTTAATTGTTTTTGATATGTAAAATATTTTTTTTTTTTTACGTAAGAGAATTAAATGATTTTATTTAAATGTTGAGAAGATAGATTAATAACAATACCGATCGAGATCCGTTTTATCTCGAATGAGATACGAGATACGAGATAAGAGATGCGAATTGTATGTATGTCCTCTCTCTCTCTCTCTCTCTCTTTTTCTTTCAAAGATATCTTCTTTTCAGAGAGAGTCTTGCTTCCGTTTGAATTCTTGACAAGGTAACGACCAAGAAACGGCATATCTACTATATAAGTACATGCGATTCGACGTGTCGTTTGTAAGTACGTAGACTCACGTGTACGTTGACACACGCACGCACGCACGCACACACACACACACACACACGCGCGCGCGCAAATGCACGCACACGCACACATACGTCAAACTTTGGAACGCCAAAGCAAGCAGAACTTCCGTTGCTCGAGGCGTAGTCGAAGTTGTCGACACCGTCAAAAGGTGTAGGAATTTAATTCGGTGGCAATAAAGGAAGTTGAAACGTTGGAATGCAAAGTATTAAGTAAATCGAGAATTATTACATTTATCATTCCCTTCTCTTTCGATCTACGAAAGATATGTTTTCATTTAAAAGCATGTGTGATATTAAAAAGAAAAAAAAAAAAAAAGAAAAAAAAGAAAGAAAAAAAGGAAGGAAAAAAGTCCTTTAATTTAAAAAAACAATTCTTAGGAAACAAATTTAAAAAAATAGACATATATATATATATAAATAAATAATGAAATAATATTGAAGAACGTTTTTTATCTTAACAAATAAAAATATAAAATTACAGCGCTTAGAATCATTCTCTCTTTGGAAGGGATAAAAGCAACCAACAACAGCCAGACCGGCATATATCTCATATGCATATGCATCGAACACCAATATCTATCTATACGTATGTATGTATGTATATATGTATGTACGGTATTATCATTTAAATCTACACACAGATATAAACATATACGTAAACACATCGTACTAATACAAATTTTCTAACTACATTCGTGTACATTATTATCATTTAAACGTAGCGTTCACTTAGACGAGACACTCGTATGGATTCTCGACTAATTACATGGACGATAAACTAGTATCTTTGCGTATATATATATATATATATATATGCGTGTGTGTGTGTGTGTGTGTATGTATGTATGTATGTCTGTGTGTATGTAAGAGTAGCGTGGAAATGCACGGGTACGATTCTATTCCCGTAGATTCTGAACTATGCGTTGTGCATAGAGGCAACGTTTCCTGTGTGCTCTCCTTGCCTTTACAACTCCCTTATACGTTTTACGTTACAGCATGAACGCGTGCTTCTATGTAACAAGAGACATCCATGTATATATATATATATATATATATATATATATATATATTTATATATATGTATGTATGTGTCTAAGTACCAATATAGAAGGATGGAAATCTTTGTGTTTGTGTGGTATGGTGGGTGTTCAGAACCGTACGATGCGAACTTGTTGTTTATTCCTCGTATCGACATGGCACCTACACGAGAACTCGATGTCACTCTCGATGCACACTTGGAACGACACAACGTGCATTGGTCACTGCACTTCCGTCCTCGAGAAACATGCTCGCTCGCTCTGTTCACGTGAGTTCATGCGATACAGTTTTTTCTTTTCCTTCTTCTTCTCTTTTTTTTTTTTTTTTTTCTTTTACCTCCATATATGCATCCAAGTACCTATGTGATTATTTATGATGTCAAATGTCGTTTTATAACGAGAACATCTTTTAGTAATTAATTATGATGTCATTTTTATTTATTTTTTGAGTTTGAGTCTGAATATGTTCTAGGAAAAGATACAAAAAGAATAGAAGAAGGGAATTCCTTTATATTGTAGATCATTGCGGTCAGCGATCTCACAGATCTAGGCCATTATAGAATACAATAATAATGTTGTAGATCATGCGATTATTATATGTGTATATATATATATATATATATATATATATATATATATATATATTCATTGATTGAATGAGTTTTGTTTTTTCATTTCTTTCTTTTTTTTCTTTTTTTATTCTTTTTTTTTACGAGTTGACAGTTCGTAATTATTTTTATCCATGGTGGAAGTGGAAGATCGAGAAACGTTCTTGAATAAAGAAGGATTTCTTGATATTATATAAATCATTGTGGTGAGATAGATCATAGCAAGATCGAGGGCATTATTTAAATACAATATTATAGAGATCATGCGATTAGATAAATATATGATTCATATAAATTAACAATTTCGTGATTGTCGAATCATTTTACCTTATTTGAAGAATTCATTGAAAACTTCATCGATTAGAAAATAATACAAATGGCGCATGCTAGATTTATCGTGATCTAGCTAATATCAATTGAATAACACGCGTATTGCTTTAACTACGATCACGCACGATCACGCGCAGGTGTTCCAGCAAAAGGTGGGTGCTACTTCATATTACGTATGTATGTAGGTGGAGATCGAACCTTTTTTTCTCACCTTTCGAAAATATAAACTTTTCGATGTTTCACGTTCTTAACCAATCGTTCAACGTGCGCGCCTACGTGAGTTACGTTCCTTTCGTGCGTAGGTAGATTAGATGGTAAAGAAATCGTATGTAATTCTATATTTGTAGTACGAGTCGTGTGTACAACTGGTGCTATTCGATCATAATATTTATCATAGTTCGATCACTATATTATGTTAAATTTGCTTTCGTAAACATATATCGCTTTTATGAGAAAAATTTTTCTACGTGTCTTTTTACTAAAAAAAAAAAAAAAAAAAAAAAAAGAAACAAAAATCATCTTTAATGTCTAATAATTATTTGAAATAAATGAGAATAAACGCAACAAGAACATTCGACAAACTTACAAAATTTTCTATTTAATTCGTTAGATCAATTCGATGATTAATTAATATTCATATAATTTGGTTTCGATAAGTTTATATTCTCTGAAAGTCATTCGAAAGTTGGCGCGTTTAATTCAACGTATCACGTGACTAGTACGATCTTCCATGGCCGTCCAATAGATGTCACTGTCGACTTTCGCGACAGTGGCATCCTCGTATGGCCATTTATCGAACTAATCAATGATTCGACCAATGAAAACACTACTCTTTCTGTACGTATACGCACACGTACGCATTGAGAACTAATATACATGTAATTTCCGCAGGTGGTGATTTTCGGACGAGAGAGAGAGAGAGAGAGAGAGATAGAGAGAAAGAAAGAAAGAAAGAAAGAAAGAAAAAAAGCGAAGATTCAGGGACTTAACAACATTACGGGAATCGACTTGACGATTTCGTGTGACAGAGAAAGAGAACAATATAGAAAGATAGAAAGAAAGAAAGACTGAGAGAGAGAGAGAGAGACGAAGGAACGACGCGCGTGTGCTCGAGGCGCCTTCATCGCGGGGCGTATCCCAAGATCGCGAGGTAAAAAGCGTCATTTCTGAGTGCGTCATTGCGTGTCCTTCCTCCTACTCTCTTATTCGTAGACTTTGGTATATCCTGGTTTGGTGCAATTTACAAATATAACTCATATGCGTCGCCAGAGAAGGAGAGCAAAAGTGAAAGAAAGAGAGAAAGAGAGAGACAAAGTGTGATACAGAGTGAGAAGAAAGGAGTAAGCGTGCGTGTGTGTGTGTATGTGTACATGTGTGTATGTGAAAAAAGAGAGAGAGAGAGAGCGCGACACATAGAGCATCGAACTCGATTTGACAATCGGATGGACGAAGAAGAAGATCGGCTTTGTGTTTCATCGCGATGAGACGTTCGTTAAATTTTTCCTTTGTCAAGATAAGATTTTGAATTTCTCCATTAAACCTTTTTTCTTTTTTAAGTTTCGTTTCTCTTTCTTCCTTCGAAAGTGATAAGAATTTTTTCTCGTGTTATCAATCGTCGATTCGTTATCGTGATTTATTCATTGCCAATGTGTAACTCAGCCGACGCTTCGTACGTGCAAAAGTTAGGTTATCTGCAGTTAGGAGATGATAGCTCGGACGTTGTTGGTACCCCCGGTACCGCTAGGCTTTCGGGTTCAAAACCCGAGGCCCAAGTGCCTGTTACGAGAAACGTCACTGCCAGGAATGATATTAGAATACCTGGTAGACCTGTAGGTGCTATCGAAAGCTTCATCGAGGGTAACTCTTCTGACAATTCTAGACAAACTATTTCTGCTGATTATAAGCTTTACGAACGTGAGAATATTATAGCTGCTTCGAGGTTTGCTACTCCAAAGCCTGTTGAACAAATTAGTGCTCAACAACAACAGCAGCAGCAGCAGCAGCAGCAACAGCAGCAGCAGCAACAGCAACAGCAACAGCAACAGCAACATCAGCAAAGTCAAGGACGTGTTAACAATCAACAGGCACCTGTATATGAAAATATAGACTATTATCCGCAGCAGAGTCAACCATTGCCTCCTTATTATCATCCAGTTGAATCTAGGAAAAGTCCTAGGGATAGTCCTAGAGGTTCCCTTGCTGGAGAGTCTTATGAAGCTAATTTTAGAAAGGCACAACCACAAGTTCCCACTGGAAGTCGTTATCAAACTGCTTCACCTGCTAAGGAACTGCCGCCTTACGAAGCTCCTCCTGTTTATGAGAATATTCAGGAAGTTCATTATACGGATAATGCTCAAAATAAGCCTGGGCCTCAAGTTCCATCTAATTATTATCATCCTGCTAATATCAACGGAGGAGATTATGTCATTATGACTGGAAAAGTTGGACAAGGGCAAGCACAACGTGGCATACCTCAAAGTTTGTCTTATACGCAACAAAGAGGAATGAATTCTAGGGGTCAGAGTTATGATGGATCTTGTTTACAACGTGCAACTGTTGATTGTCCTTCCAGATATCTACAAGGATCATCTTCCAATGCTGATCATCAATCTGGTAGAAGCGCTTATGTACCACCATCTGAACTACATACTCCAACTAGAAACTTTAGCTATGATCAACAACAGCAACAACAACAACAACAGCAGCAGCAGCAGCAACAACAACAACAACAGCAGCAGCAACAACAACAACAACAACAACAACCTTCTAGATCAGGACTACCTTATCACAGTGAATCACCTCCAATACGTTTGCCACCAGAACCTCATCATTATCGCAGTTCTCTTGATAATACTGTAGCTGGACAGCAGGCATATCGTACGTCCCACCAAAATGACATGCAGCAAACACAATTTCGTCAAGATTCACAAGTATATAAACAATTTGTGGAGCCATCTACTAGAAGTATGAATCCAAATTATTCTACAGAAACTCAAGCTAGAAATTCTCCTGTATATGGTAGTCGTTCAGAGCAACCATCTTGCAGAAATTCTCCGTGTTATTCTCCCAGTCGTACAATGCCACCCAATGATAGGAACTATCACCAAGAAAATAGATCAGATTTTTCTGCTAGGAATTCACCAATTTATTCTTCCAATCGTTCTGCAGAGCAATTACGTTTGGGTTCTCTCCAAAATGAGAGGAACTTTGCGCAAGATGCATCCGAATCGTCTGGTCCAAGGAGTTCACCTTTATATTCACCAAGCCGTACTGATCCTGGTAGAGTTATTACACCAAATAGTAATAGTATCCGTAATTCTCCAAAAGCAAGTCCAACTCACAGTCAAATTCCAAGTGATATTGGCTTACAAAATGTAACAAATTCTCCTAGACACATTTCACCTCCTTCTTCCACCAATGCAGTGGGAAGTCCTGTACATGTGCAAGTGCAAACACCAGTGACCAGTACTGTGACTTTAACCAATGATTCTGATTCAACTGTTAATGTACCTAGAATTACAAGCCTACCACCGGGTGTTACCAGTGGCATTGCTGGTCCTGTATTTCTGAATGCTGGTGTACCTGTGTTACAAAGATCCTCAGAACCAGAACCTGAAGAAAGAAAATTGGTTAGTCCACCTATAAAGCCTACTCCTGGCAAAGGATTGTTGCCATACAACGTCATTCCACCTAGACCATCGGTAAAAAAAAGTTTTACAACTTTTCATAAATATATTTGAAAAAGAAATGAGGAGAAAGAAAAAAAAAAAAATAGAAAAGAAAGGCACAACTTCTGTCTCTTTGAATTCGGGCTAGCATAAAATTTAATTAGCAAGATAAATTTAATTTGAATATTTGAGCTATGTAGGTCAAAGATACAAATTCTTGTTCCACTTTACTTTATATCTCGATATACGTTCGATTTCTTTGGCATATTGCCAAAATTTTCTCCTAATCCGAATAATATACACGCACATATTATAATATATAAAAATTCTAAACGGTTGAAAAAAAAGAATAAAAAAAAAAATAAAAGAAATTTAGTATATATCACCAAACAAACAACAAGGGAATATTTGATTCTCGATGCATCGCGTCATTTCAAAGAATTCTTTCTTCGGAACTCGCGATGAATCAGAGATCAAATAATGCTTCTTATTAATGCGTACGTTCTTTTAGCACCAAAGTGCAAAGTTAAACAAAAATTTATTTAAAATTAATTTATTATAAACGAATATCAATTTTATACAGGGTCCAACGGAAGCGGAAAGGAAGATAGAAGAATTGACGAGACAACTCGAGGAGGAGATGGAGAAGCAAGAGGAGGAAGGAGAATATTTTGGTAATTTAAACAAAACAAAACAGAAAAAAAGAAAAGAAAAGAAAAGGAAACGGAGAAAAAGAAGAAGATAAAAAAAAAATATTCCAGAACTCTCATTCTTTTTTTCTTTCTTTCGTTCTTTCTATCGCTAGAAAAAAAAATAAAGCTTGTACGTGTTATCAGCGTATAAGCATGTTGGTTATCAACCGGTGACGCAAAATCAAGCCCATTTTCTCGTTATCAATGCTCGCTGTTAGCTATTATGCAAAGTCAATCGTTTAGGAATGCCAACGAGGACGACTCTCTATCTATTACTCCCTCGCCAATTTATATATATATATATATATATATATATATATATATATATATATATATATATCTTGCAGGCTATACTCATTCGAATTTCTTTTTTTAGAAAGATTCATCGAAAAAATAATTCTCACACGAATAAGAAAAGACGACTCCATTGAGCCCCCACTTTCTTTTCTTATATTTTCGTAGAAAGAAGAACGGGGGAGTAAAGAGAGGAGGAAAGCGATGCTGGCAAAAGCAAGTAGTAGGCAGCAGGCAAGCAGGCAGTGGAACAGGGAGGGAGGGAGGGTGGGAGTTAGGGGGCGGGGACGGGCCGGGAGGTAAGAGGGTTATCGAACGTGCCGATTCCCACGCTGCCAGCACCCGTGTGGACCGGTTCCTGAAAATCGAGCTGCGTTCCAACATGCCCGCGATACTTTTTAACACGACGTTTCGTTGACATTCTCTCGAAAGCCATGGGTTTCCACCTACGTGAAAAAGGCTTTTACGATTGCCAAGCCTAAGAAAAGATATGCATTTTACACACACACACACACACACACACACACACACATATATATATATAAATATATATTTGTAATATATGTATGTATGAAATGTGTGTATGCAATGTATGAATGTAATGTATGTGTATATTGTATGATCGTTCAGCATGTTCATTGCTGTTCATTCATTGAATGATGAGAGAGAGAGAGAGAGAGAGAGAGAGGATGACAACGACGACATGGACGATGTAAAGAAAAAGACAGGTCGAAGAGAAGAAACACGCCCGATCGTTTTGTCATCATGTCTGTCCTCCTACCCAACATTATTAACTCGGTTCGCTTTTGTGCCGCGTTTGAGTTCTATTATTCGTGCAACGTGCTGTATCGCATCGGCGGCCGCCAGGTCGTTCGGTGCGGTAACTAATCTTGTTATAGATAGACCAGTCCGACTCGTTGGTAGATTCTAGTTGTGCTAGGTCTTACTCAGTTAGCTCTAGCTAGTTAACTAACTAACTAGCTAGCTAGCTATCTATCTAGCGATACGAAGTCGTGAAATTGAAAATTTGACGTATTGAAGAGAAAAAGAGAAAGAGAGAGAGAGAGAGAGAGAGACAGACAGAAAGTTTTTTTTTGTTAAGGAATGTCAGGAACAGTTTTACCCATCGACAGTTGTAAGTTTGTCTTTTAACGCGATCTTGACAGTGAACAAGATGCTGGACCTTATACGCATTGTGATCGTGCTCAGCTCGAATGTGTATTTTTAAACTTTACTTTCTTCGTTGCTATTACTACTACTACTACTACTACTACTACTATTATTATTATTACTATTACTACTATTACTACTATTACTGTGTTGCTTCTTCTACTGCCGTTTATACCGTTTAATCAAAAATTTCGATCGTTTTTTTTTCAACGTGGTATTTCAATTTGTATTTTCGACGATAATATCCTCTCGTTAAAAATATTCCTTTCCGAGCTTGGATTATATATCTTGAACTTAAGAGATGAACTTTCAATTCTTTTTTTTTTTCCATATAATTCTTTTTTCCTTTCTTTTTTTCTTAAGAGAGATTAACCTTATCTCATCTATGGGGTCAAAAGTACTTGGTATTATTATTATTATTATTATTATTATATGTATATATGTGTACGTATGTATATTTGCTTTACTCGTAGATAAGACACGACTAAAACGTCATTTGAAATGTTTCCATAGGTATTTGTCACACGTGCGGTGAAAAGGTGACCGGTGCTGGACAGGCCTGTCAGGCTATGGGTAATCTTTATCATACGAATTGTTTTATATGTTGTTCCTGCGGAAGGGCTTTACGCGGCAAAGCATTTTATAACGTTCATGGAAGGGTTTATTGCGAGGAAGATTATTTGGTAAGAGATAATGGTTTAACGTCTAGCGAATGTAAATTTTCTTCCATGATATAATCTTGTTAATAATACTGATCGTGTTATAATCATTTTCTCTTTGCAGTATTCCGGTTTCCAACAAACAGCCGAGAAATGTGCTATTTGCGGTCATCTCATTATGGAAATGGTATATATCGATTATATATACCATTCGATGTTTGTTACGATCAATCGAGATTTATTATATAATATATTAAATGATCTCTATATCATTAAATTTTCTTTTCATTATAGATCTTACAAGCTATGGGTAAATCCTATCACCCAGGGTGCTTCAGATGTTGCGTATGCAACGAGTGTCTCGATGGTGTTCCTTTTACGGTAGACGTAGATAATAAGATCTATTGTGTTAACGATTATCATAGAATGTTTGCACCTAAATGTGCATCTTGCGGTAAAGGGATTACTCCGGTCGAGGTAAAATTATATATATATATATATTTCTTTTTTTGTTTCTTTTTAGAATGACCGATATATTTTTTGAGATCCTCTATTATGATAAAAAAAATTATTCTCTTTTTTTTTTCGTTTTCTTCCTCTTTAGGGTACCGAAGAAACAGTTAGAGTTGTTTCCATGGACAAAGACTTTCACGTGGATTGCTATGTTTGCGAGGATTGCGGTATGCAGTTAACAGACGAACCCGATAAAAGGTGCTACCCACTCGATGGTAGGCTAATGTGTCGCGCCTGTCACATCCAACGCATATCTCATACACAACCAAGAGCACCACAGCCGGTATCTGCTAGCTATCAATTTATGGGATAAAAGAAAAAAAAAAAAAAGAAAAAGAAAAAAGTTATATATATACATATATATATATATATATATATTAATTTGTATGCGTGCGCGCTTCGCTTCTATTAGAAATGTTTCATTTCATTATAGATTTGCGCACATAAAAGCCATCCTATATAATGATTAACTGTGCGAATTTGTGCTTCGATCACATCAGTCTGATGAAACTTTTGTCGAATTGTCTAAAAAAAAAAAAAAAAAAAAAAAAAGAAAAAGAAAAAAAAGAAACAAAAAAAAAAAACAAGAAAAGAATAAAAAAAAAAAAGTAAGACTGCTCCATATAAATGTATACACTGCCTCTTGGGATCAAATGATATATATATATATATCTATTTTTTTTTTCTTCCTTTTTTTAAACAATTTTTTGTCACGATACAACCGAAGTGCTAATTTCAATTAAAGAACAATCGATTTCGAGACGTGCCTATTAGCGAAATATAATGTAGTATGTGTATTTAATATAATTTTTTTTTAAATATTGTTTCTTTCCTACGGTACTCTTCGAACACAGTGGTCTCATTAGGATGAGCAAGTTGCGCAGGCAACTGTGATATAATAGCATAATATCGATTTGTTAAATGGCGAACATTTTATTCCTTTTACTTCGTGTATATAGGTACACGTGTCTCATTGTTAATAATTATTATAGTTATTATTATTATTATTATTATTATTATTATTAGTAATAGTGTAATGCGTATTGTTAGGGAAAATTTTATCTATGGAAAAACAAAACTCGGTTCAACGTCCCAGGTGAAATGGCAATTCCTTCGTATTAATTATAATATTTATATGCAATATTAATTAGACGTAGGAGCCGTTAAATCCTTTAATATATTAATTAATATTTATCAAGGATTTGTGCGCTCTTTCAGTCGATGCTGATACAATATAAAACGAATAATATGACAATATTGAAATATAATCGTGAATATTCTTGTTCTCTTAAAATGTTAGATTTGTCTTTGTCAATTGCAATCAAACAAGTGGAATGAATTTAATAGATCATTTATTATGTATATATATATACACATATATATACATACATACATACATACATACATACATACATACATACATACATACATATATATATATATGTATACACATATACACACACACGATGTAGTTCGTGGTTTATTATATTAGAATTTAAGCGCACAATTTTTAAGCTGCCAAAAAAGAAAAACAAACGATTGATCTTTGTCAAGATTTGCTAATATTATCAGTTTACATATTTACAATAGTTTAATTAAGTAATGAGTACTGTAGATAAAAGTACAATCTCTCTTATTTAAATATACATATGTACGAGATGGTGTGTATGTTGTGACGACCGTGTTCAATAAAGGCGAACCTGACAGAAATAATAGATACGTGCCCGACATGTCTTTATCCGAGATTTTATTATAACATTATTAATGATACACATCTACAAGAAATAATATACATTAATAATATTTCACGTATAGAGATTTCAAAACATAAAAAATTTCTAATATGTGTATCGAAGTACACGTTTATAATAAATAACATTATGTTTTTGGTGGTTCTGTTTGTCTTTCAGTTTTAAATTCGGGTTTGTGCTTTGCCGTACATTTTCCCGACTGTTCTACCTACAACACAATAATTAAAACTTTTGAAATCATATCGAGATCATTATTTCTTTTTTTCTTTTCTTTTTTTTTTTTTTTCTTTTTTTTTAATATAATATATATATTTGATATGAAAAATATTCTAAATACTATTGCATATTTAAAATGATGGAGATTTTTAATTAGATTTCTAATCACTAAAATATCTTTTAAACCTACGTAGAGTTTCGTCCGCAGACTGCAACAAGTATGTATGCGTGTGAAAAGAGAAAGACAACACAATGTTTCATGTAGGAATATATAATTACAATCATTGATCATTTTTGGAGATAAAATTTATTTCTCTAATTATCGTTTGGAGGAACGATACTCTTTTAATTTGTTACTTACATTTGTAGCTGCTTTTTTGAAAGATGATACTTTAAGATATCCTAATCTATTAAGATATCTAATAGACATAGTTGTTCCTCCTAAAAAAAAAAAAAAAAAAAAAAAAAAAAAAAAAAAAAAAATTACATCGAGTTAATAAGTACTTGCAATAATATATATACATATATATTTGGATTTATACATCAATGTATTGATTTAATTAATATTACCTATGGTCACTGCATATCTAGCAGGAGTAAATATTTTATAAAGAGCATATACTATAGCCCAATTGCCAGCGCCAGAGCTGCGTAACATGGTTAAATATTTTTCACTTAAATTTAAATGTTCCATCATAGTCACTATATCTACGCCACTGTAATAAATGATTATTTGACATATATATTTAAAAGAAAATATTATCTTTTAATTTATCTAAATATAAATTATATCATTATGTACTTTTTAACTGCCATATAAAATATTGCCACCCAGCCCATGGAAGTCGCTATGTGTACAGGCACTAATATATACCAATAGTCCTTGGTTAATTGTTTCATTCTTTGAAATATAGATAATTTTTTATCGGGTAATGGTATATTATCTTCTTTAGGCTGATTTTGAGGATTATTTGAATATGCCAGCATAATGTCATGTTTGTTAACTTTAAACGTTCTCTGGCATACAAAGTTATTATGTGAAAATAAAAAGTAATTACGTAAGGCAGTCCTGTAACGAGCATTGTTTTCTGAAAGTGAAAGATGCTTGATACCATATAAAAATATTGTTATAACAATATGTTAAATATTTTATTTTATTTTAACCTACCATTGTTGTTACCGTGTATCCCAAATTTTAGATTGGTACAGCATAAACAACGTGCAGACAAAACGCCATTGTTAATTAAAAAGGATGAATTGGATCCTAAAATCGATGTTAATCGTAAACTACGATTAATTATAGCTTCCATTTTCAAAATCGACCGGTTTAATTTCTAACCAAACAGAGATAATGAGGTTTATACGGTCTCTCTTTCTTAACACATAAGAATTTTGAAAACAATTTTTAGCACATGTTGCGAAATATACAGCAATGTTGTATCGTGACTTATTTATTTTAACTTGATCCTCGAGGTTTTATATATATATATATATGTGTTTTAAATATATAAATATATGTATATATTTTATATTTAAATAAGTTAAAATCTTACATCGGAAATATCACATTCTCACAATATTATATACATACATTTTCTCTCTTATCGATCTTATACCTAATAGGATAACACGAATCGACTGTGCTTCCAGCTAGTGGAGGAAATGCGAATTTCAAATTTTAAAAACACTTCCCGCCAATTTGCCTTAATACTATAGAATGCTAAAACGCATACGTACACTCATATCTATTATAATATCTTATATATGTGTAATTAATTTATTTAAATAATTTATATTTTATTTAAATTAATTAGAAATATCGAGTAGAGTATAGTTAATCGATAAATTATGCTTCATATGTATTTCTTTTTATTATTTTATTAGATTTATATTTAAATTAGATGTATAATTAATTAACACAAGATGTAAATTCTTTTAATGACTATATAACTTTTTATTTTTTTTTTTTTTTTTTTTATTGTTATATACATAAATGTTTTTATTCTTTTTTTTTTCTTTTTTTTTTTTTTTTTTTCTTTTAATTTTGTTACAGTCTTTGAACTTCGATCGTTCAGAAGAAGAATATATTCGAGGCTACAACGAGGATGAAAAATATGGAGGAGATAGTTGTAAAATAATTAGCTCGATTCTGATGCCAATGTGCGAACAATGCTGTAAGAGAAATTTATCAGATCAATTTTCTTTTTTGTTTCTTTTTTCGTTCTTTCTGTTCTTTTTTTTTTTTTTCTTTTTTCTTTCTACACTAAATCATTGTAAAAAGTTTTGTATTTAATTTCATACCTGTATCTTCTTGAATTGTTATCCAACCTATTACAGGTTCCATTTCGTTTTGTCGTTTGAGCCATTCATACAATGGTTGAAAATATTTGATTATCGCATCGGCATCTAATCTGTTGGATTTGCCTCTGGTCATTTGTCTCACAACATCATGCCAATGTCTCGAAGCACCGATTGATAACACATCCCTGTAAAAAGTACAAAGGTATATATACAATTGCATTTATTTATATATATATATATATATATATTTCTAATTTTGATTAAAGGATATAATCTTTCTAATTTTGATTAAAGGATATAAGAAAGGAATAAGAAAAAAAAGAAAATTGATAAATTGATAAACGTAACATACGATAATAATCTTCCAGCATCACGTGATCTATATAGATCACAAGTATGTAGTTCAGACGTGTGTCCAGAAATTTCGCATAGCGATTGGAACAATTGAAATTGTAGAATCGTACCCACGAAATATCTGCAAATTTTTTTATTTGATTAGTGATAAATAAGAATGATTAAATATCAAAGAAATACGTATTTAAGTACATTGAGATTTTAGAAATATTAATATCCATTGCCGATAGTATTGTTAATGATAAAGATGCTTAAATAATTTTTTACTTTAATAATGATATAAAAAGTTGCATGAATATGTGCAAATACGCTTATTATATTCTCGATCGATCTATCAACAATGTACGTTTAATACAGGGTGATTATGGAAAAAAAATTTTTCTGGATGATCTTCTTTGAAAATCAATTAATATCATTTTTATCGAGAACAATTTTTTTACAGGCTAATATTATTTTTCATCTCGTTTGAATTTTAAACGAATACCCAAGCTCGTAGTTGATGAAACGAATAATAGATATTTATTTTGTTTTTAAATCACATAGGTATTATCTGGCCCACCCTCTTTATATTGTAATGCATACTGAAGAATGCATACTGTGCGTAAGGTATGTCAGCCAAGATATGATATTTTGCTGCTGGATCAAAATCTCTTTCGGTTCTTGCAACTGGTGGAACTATGCCTTGGTATTGCAATCTCAATTCCCACCATTTTGTAGTCATATCTTCGATTCCTTCGTTAAATATACGCCATCTCCACTTAAAAAAACAAAAACAAAACAAAAAGAAAATGAAAATTAGTATAGGATATAGTGGTGTAAGAATTTTTCTTTTTTTCTTTTCTTTTCCTTTTTTAAACGAACTATATTTACCTGATCGATTGTATAAGCGAATGGAATATAAGCCAATTTGCGAAGTGCCATAAGCATTAGAAAATTGATATTACTCTCGTAACCATCCGTCGAATTGTTGTGTAAACTAATTTTATGTAAATGTTGAGGTGTCATTACCGATAGTACTATTGCATCGCTCACTGCTTCGTGAAAACCTGCATAGATCAAATTTATTAATAATAATTTATTATAGGCAATTGTATTATTTTTTTCTAGAATATTATACGCATTTTACCAGGAATAGCTTCTTTTCGAAATATTATTGGTTGATCTTTGTATTGCAAGTAATATTGCAGGTGTGCCATTTCATGGTGAGTCGATAATAAATCGTCCATCGTTACTTTGGTACATTGTTTTATTCTAAAATTATATTATTTTTGTCAATTGTGTGACGTTTAGATTTTTTTCTCTTTTCTTTTCTTTTCTTTTCTTTTCTTTTAATGATTAGGAAATCGACCTGTAATCGATGGTATTGCAAAAATCCCATGCACCGGCCGTACACATAACTTCACGATCGATCGGTTTCTCGAACATTGAAAATCTCCAAAATTCTGGTGGCATTGGTTTCATTCCAAGTGATGTAAAAAATTCTTCGGCAATTTGAAACATTCTTTATGCAAGGTTCCCCCGTAAAAGAAAAAAACAAAAAGAAAATACAAGTTATTATTGTTCGCTGAAATTTGGAATGTATCTCGTGGTGTATTATAAGAAAAAAAAAAAAAAGAAAAAAACAAGAAAAAAAGAAAAAAAGAAAAATCGAAATGATGAATACCTCAAGGGTGTATAACCCTGTATCATCATATCCAATGTAACATCGAGTTTGGTAGTCGCTGGAAAGGGTTGAACTAAATCATAAATCCCTTCCCAATTTTGTGACCACATGTTACCCAAAATATGTGCTGGTAATGGCCCATCCTTTCTAATTCTATCGCCGTATCTTTCATATAATTTTCTTCTCACATACGTAAAAAGATTTTTATATAATGGCATTATTGCATATATCACTTCAGCCATGTTTTGTTCTAAGTGTTCGTCTTCGAAAAATTCTTTCATTTGATCTCCGGTATCGGCGAATCCTTGAAAAGAAGAAAATTTGTTTTTCCCTCGAGGATTTTTCTTTCGTTTCGTTTATATTTTATTTTACCATTGAGCCTGGATGCTTGATTACTTAATTGCACATATCTCATGAAATTATTTTTAAGTGGTGGCCCTATGGCTTCGTGCCAGGCATGCCAATAATAGAGTAATTCATCATAATCCTTAGATTGTGCCATAATCTTGCTAATATCTAAATATAAAGAGTAACGATATATTAAATTATAATTGCACAAAAAATTTATGATAAAATTTAAATGTACCAAGTAAAATACTTACCATGATCTATACTTAAATTACAATTTGATCCCATGTTTCTATAAGGACACAATCTTGTTCTACTGTAAATATCTTTCATCTCAATGATCAGCTTATGTATCTATGGAGAACGATTTGATTAATTATTTTATTATTATTATTGTTATTATTATTATTATTTTTTTTTTATTATTTTTTATTTTTTGAATAATTAATTATCAGGTTTTTTTTTTTTACTTCGTTAAATTTGTCATCTGTTAAAGCATTTCGTCCTCTTATAATGATCATTTTTAATTCTCTCCTTGCTAAAGGATCTGGTATACGACTCCAAGCAAAACTCACTGCTTTTCGCCATGATGCTCTTTCGAATTTTAATTTCAATGTCTGCTCGTCTAACTAAAAATTTTATTACATATTATTATTATTATTATTTTTATTATTATTATTATTATTATTATTATTATTTATAATTGAAATCCCTCAGGATATTTTCTTATTCTCCGGAATAGAGTAGATCGTAAATTTGTATTAAATAAAATCAAAAAAGAAAAAAGAAAAAAATTTATTACTGATTATATCATTTTTTATATGTATATATATATACATATTTTCTTTTCTTTTTTTTTTTTTTTCTTTAATGTTCTTTACCATTTTTCTTTTGGTCGATTCGGTGACATTAGTACCAAAATTCCATTGAGCTGTCATTACTCTGGTACACATAGATGAAGCTTCTCGTTCGTATTCACGTAAAAATTGTAAAGCTTCGCCCAAATCGACATTGAGTCCCTTAAAAGAAAGAAAGAAAGAAAAAAAAAAAAATTAAAAATAAAAAATAAAAAAAAAATTCGATGAATGTTTTTTCGATTAGAAAAAGGCCGTGAGAATAAGTATCATTAGAAAGTCGATTAGCAATTGTAATCGGGGTCATAGGAAACAATGTACATTTTTCAAACGTTTTCAAGCATATCCATTAACCTTTTTAATCTAACTGTATCATCTAACAACGTAGTACCGTTAATCAAACTTGTATAGTTTCAATTCAATTTATTATATCTTACCTCGACATATTTGCTTTGGATTTCGATAGAACAAAGGGAAAATAAAATGATCGATAAAATAATTCTCGTCATTGTTATTGACAAATTATATGAAAACGAACATCTCAAATTTTATCACTTAAAACGTTGTTGTATTTTTATATAAAATTTATATACATATATATTATATATATATATATATAAACACACACAAGAAAAACAAAGAACAAAACAACACAAAAATTCACTTTGTTCGTAATAGATAAGAGATTATTTCCTTTTTTTTTTCTTTCTTCTTTTTTTTCTTTCTTCTTTGAGAGAAAGAAGTAAAGGAAGGGGGATAAAAAGTGTAAAGATTTAAAAAAATGTTATCGTACGAGTTTCCCTCGGAGGAGGAATTAAATTTTCGATCATTTTTTTTTTCTTTTTTTTTTTCTTTCTTTTTTTCTTTTATCTTTACGTTCGACTTATAACATATATGGTATACGTATGATATTATCACGTATGCCCGTTGAAGCCCGTTCTATCGAAATATAGCCTTTGATGTCCTAGAAGGATTTTTTTTTTTTCTTTTTTTTTCTTTCTTTCTCTTTCGTTCTTCTTCGATTAAATTGAGCAAATTGAACGATCGGTGGACGAACCGACCCGATTCGTATTATGTCGCGGCAAAACTGAATCGTGGAACCGAGAGATACTCTTTTCCGGGACGGATAGACCGCAAGCGAAAAGAGGAAGGGACAGGCATCATCGAAGCGTGAAGCGTAACCACCCAGACGCATTATGGCACACGCCAAAATCCTTTTATACTTCTCTCCTTTAAACTTCACCTTTTTTCCTTCTTCCATTCTTAAAATTGTTGTGTATACGTATTCTACTTTCTTTTTTTTTTTTGTTTTATTTTTTTTTCGTTTTACCTCGCATATACTTCGATACATTTTACAAATTATTTTTTGTTTTTTTTCTGTTTTATTTTCTTGTTTTCTTTTTCCTTTTTTCTTTTTTTTTTCTTTTTTTCCTTAATCATCCTTTATCAACGGGGACATCACGATATTGTCCCCTTCCTGTTCACCTAAGCGTGGAGAAACACTAACGGAATTTCTCTATGAAACTTCAAACACTTATATTTCTTTTTCTATAGTTCTGTTTTTTTTTTCTTCTTCATTTATTTATTTATTTATTTTTTTTTTTTTCTTTTCATCCTTCATCTTTTCTTTCTTCACGGTTCATAAATTGTGTGTCATTACTAATTTTTCACGTTCAACCGATAGACGTGAAATGATTCCGAAGAAAATATTTTTTATCTATTCTAATTATCGAAGGAGAATATGTGCGATGAATTTTTTTATTTCTTTTTTTTTTTTTTTTTTTTTTTTTTTTGTTTTTTGTAGCGTACGTTAAATTCGTTTGGGATTATTTATTTCTATGGTTATTCCAAATCGAAAGTATAATTGATAAATGTCGAGTTTGTTTTGCGTTCCGAAGACGTACCGTAACTTTATAATTATCCAGTGGCGTAATCTGTGACGACATAACCGTAAGATAATTACTCTCTTTCTCTCTCTTTCTAAGAACATAATCACGTTCTTCGTACTTTTTTTCTCTCTCTCTCTCTCTCTCTCTTTTTCTTTTCTTTTTTTTTCTGTAAAGGAACGTGCAAGGACATTTTCTATGTCACAATTCGTAAGACGTTTGTCGCATTGATTAATGAACTTTTGCTTGATTTCATTTATATAATTATCAAATGGATCTTTTTTATTTTCTTTTTAATATTTTTTTTTTCTTTTTCCTATGTCTTCTTGTTCTTTTTTTTAATTCATTTTTTTTTATTTTTTCATGATACATCAAAACGATCATATTTCTTTTGTACGAAACCATTAATTATCTCTTATTATTCATACGCTATCGTATCCTTTGATCTTCATAAAATAATATTTTTAGCCTTGAAATACGAATAATTTTATATATGTGTGGATGGATCATTATTTTTTCTTCTTCTTCTTTTTTTTATTTTTTATTTTTTTATTACTTCATTTTTTTTTCGCTTAATACTTAATTGAATTTGTTTGTTCAATATTTGCACGTCTTTTCAAATAAGTAAATGTCTTTTGCAAAGTACGAATCTCCATTTTTAATTTGATGAAATCTAATATTGTTGGCACCTAAAATTATATATGTGCTCATATATATATATATATATATATATATAATGATTAATAATATTGTTTATATATATATATATATGTGTAATACTTCATATTCTTCCATCAATGTCTTCATTGATTTCACTTGTTCTTCAGCATGTTTTATTTCAATTTCGTTCATTAAACATTTCGATTCCAAATCTTTCGCTTGAAGTTTGTTAGAATTAATTTCTCTTGCAATCGAATTGAATTCAGATGTAAGATATGCCAGTCTTCGTTTGTGTTTAGTCAATGCCGTATTATAATGGCCTATAATTAATTAATATCATATAAATTAATTATTGATTAATCGTCCCAAAGGATGATTAATTATTCTTCATTTGTAATACCTATAACTTTTTTTATCTGAAGTATATATACCGCACTCTGTTTGATTTTTCTTTTGTAATCGTCACGTTGTATTTTTAATTGATCGAAATCAATAGGACGAAGATCTTCACCAAGCTGTTCTCTTTGAATCAATTGTTTCTTTGCTTTTATTATTTGTGATTTTGTCATGGTATTTTTCAATCTAATTTTCTCCACCGTTTTTTCGATCATTTTCAACCAATTCTTGATAAACCTTTGAAATCAATAAAAAAAAAACAATTTTCTATTATATTTTTTTTTTTTTCGATCATATATCACACTTATTATATTATTTATTATACATTATTTCTCAATCCTTATCACTTCGTTGGAATTTTATCAATCAAGGATTATCCTGTAAAAACGATTATATCATATTTCCTTAGGAAGTTGACGAATGTCACGAAGAAAAAGAAAAAAAAAAGAAACGATAGAGAAGGTTATATCACAATATTCTCTCTAGTAAGTGATAAGGATTAAATGATTATCAATTAACTTGATAACAGTTTCGGCTGGTATTTTGCCAGTAATACGATCGACTCCTCCGATAACGATGTCTCTTTCAAATCTATTCTTCGTATCTTTGATCTCACGAATACATATTTCTAATCCTTCGATCTCTGCACTTAATTTATTTTTTTCATTTTTCCCGGATCGTTCGAGTAACAATAATTTATTTTTAAGTTCAATTATTTCGCTTTGCATTATTTCCATTCGTTGTGGTATAGTTATTCTAAAATTTTATATTTTGATATTAAGGGAATAGAGATTTGATCGTTAAAGCATTATCGTACGAATTGGAGGTCGATATCACCTCAGCCTTCTCAACATTGGATCCAACATTCCACGTCGAATACCAGACTGCATACTCCAGATACTCGGTGAACCTCTCTCACGTATGCTGTTATTACTACCAGTCAAACTCCTAGTTGGCGATGTCGATGTACCATGGAATGTAGTTTTCTGGGAACTTTTCGATGTATCACTAATAGCCACTAGATCTATCTATGCGCAAAGTACATGGTGGGCCAAAAGTTCCTAAGCGATTTTAAATATCGATTGCGTATGTATGTCCCTTTATTTTTATTTTTATTTTTATTTTTATTTTTATTTTTATTTTCTTTATTTCTTTCCCCTTTTATTATTATTATTTTTTTTTCCTTTGTCATTCTAGAAACTTTTGGCCCACCCTGAGGAAATTTTTATTTCGCATTTGTCGAAAATATTAAGATGTTCGTTCGGGCGTTATATGAGTACGTAATAATTCGTGAATTCACTTGAAGATGAGATGTTTCTTTTCTTTTCTCTCGTAGGATCAATAAAACAGCAACAACAACAACAACAAAAATTTAATATAGACAAATTGAATGAAATTAAAATATGTCTAGGTATTGTTTACTTTGTAATGATTCTGGATCGTTTCGTTGCAGATATCTTATGAAAAAATCATTTTCCAATTCCAATATCGTTTTCATTCGCACCATATTAACTAATAAATCTTGTAATTTATTATCAGTTATTTCTAGAATTGTTTTGGAAATTTTATCAATATCTTTTGTATGATTTTTTCTTTTTTTTTTTTCTTTTTTTTTTTTTTTTTTTTAATTATACATATGACATACCGTCCCAATTAATATCATCGTCGTCTTTAACGTGCATGTTAAGCTCGGAATTCATCGTACGTGAATTATGTTTATTAAGATTCTCTTTGAGATTTTAGAATTTATCAGATAACAAATAGATTTAATTATTTTTCTTCTTGGTTAGAATCGTTTAGTTCGTATTAGTTCGATTGAAAATCATTGAATTTATGCGATCGTTTAATGTTATTTTTTTTTCCTTTCCTTTTTTCTTTTTTTTTTTTCATTCCAATGTGATTAAAAAGAAAGGAGATCAGAGATAGATTGATTTACTATTGATATTAGATACAACATGAATTGCATTTATTTCATTTAATTTGATTTTTATTAATAATGTACGACAAATTATATGTTAATTATGTTTCGTCGAGCGATGAAATACCTTCATCATTTATTTCGATGTCGTCGATGTATAAAATATAATCAATTCCAATTTCTTTCTTATCAGAACTGTACGATCTAATCACGGCTGATAATTCTGATACAGAGAACAGCATTTCTGCTCCGCCATCCATAAATTCGTTCTATAATTCAATAAAAAAAAAAAAAAATATATATATATATATGTATATTACATTTTCAAATTTAATAGTTAAAGATGTATCTACGAAGTAGTTAATCAACGACAAACTCGTGCATTGACTAATTATTTCGTAGATACATCGTTAATTATCGATTATCAAACTTGTATATATATATATAATATATATCGTTTACAATACATTACCTCGACATCTACTTGCACACCATTAATCCACACGCTTTGCGTTTGTTTGTCTTGCATGTAAAAAATTATAACAATTAATTATCGATCCATCGATGGACATGAATTTTTTTATAATAATTATATTACCCAATACAATTCTATATTCATTCTCTCCTATCTTCGTAAGCCATGATTTCAAAATTTTCGATTGAGATTGTATAAAGTTTTTATAATTCTTTCCATTTACCCATAAGGTATACGAATACTTGAAACCTACAAATTGAAATGTGATCATGCAAATGTTTTGTGAATTTTTTTTTTTTTTTCATTTTTTCTTGTTCCTTTTTTTATCTTCTTTTTTTTTTTCTTTTTTTTATTTTTCATTTTCAAGTGTGATCTTAAAAATCATGATAACCTGGTATTGGATCGACCCTAATCACGAATTTAGTCCCGTTAAATGTAAATAATTCGTCGCCGACCAAACGGAACATCCATTCTCTATTCACTAATACTTTATCATCGATTCTGACAATTCGTCGACCGGTAGCAGTTCCATGCTCGAATTCTATCACATGGTTACCATCGTTCAATGGTACTGTCCATCTTGCGGTTGGTTCAACCGACGATTCTAAAGCTTGAAGACTTCTATTACATAGAATATACATATACATATACATACATATATATATATATATATATTTATATATATAATATATGTATATGTTATTATTATTATTTTATTTTGATTTTATTACGATTGGTTGATTTTTGTTTTAATTTCTCTTTGTATCGACAAATTTGATAAATCATAATAATTACGTTTATACGATTTAAACATTATTTCAAAGTAATTTTCTAAGGAATAATGATTTATATTTGTTGTTACATCGTACTCACCGAAGTAGAGCGCTCGCCATGTTCCTTTCTCACCTGTATTCACTTTACTCCTACAAATACATAGACGCATACAGGCAGCCTTATTATTGATCGTATCATAACCATGGTCAACGGTCTAATCAATAATCCGAACCTTCTTTATGTCAGACGTACGTAATACTCTCATGGATCTCAGGTATAATGACAAAAGAAAGAAAGAAAGACAGGAATAACAAGATAATAATATCTATTTCATCATTGATTTTATATTATTTCTATATTATATCTTTGTTAAAAGAATTTATTGTCGTTAGAAATATACACATGTCACCAGAGAAAATTAATATATATATATATATACAGAAAAGTGTTAGTGATTATTTTATAATGGTATACTTTGATTGTTACTCTTCTTTCTATATTTTTTACTTTTTTATTTTTTTTTTAATTTATTGGAAACGTGTAAGCTGGTAACAATTTTCCATTACACGATCCAAAACCAATACGGTAACCATCGCCATTGCAATAACCTACATAAAAAAGAAAAAATAGAGAAAACGAATAATTTATATTATTGATGATTTAAAAATGATCATTAATAATTGTGAAGATTAATTTAACAGTTACCGCGTAAAATTACTTCGTCGTTATCTTGAAGAAATTTTCTGGTAGTGCCGTCTTTCAAATGAATCAATCTTGTACCCTTCCAACAGAGCTCCAACATAGATCCAAATGAATCCAAGGTCTGAAATATTAAAATTATAAATTATATATATATATATGTAATTTTTAATACGACGAGATTTTTTCCTGTTTGTTTTGATATCATTCATTATATTAACAGTCATTACTATAACAGTCTTTAATACAGACCTCACCACTTATGGTACCGGATGCCATTAAGTCTCCAGGATTAATATTACATCCAGTTACAGTGTGATGTGCAAGTTGTTGACGAGGAGACCAATACATATATTTGTAATTACTATGACATATGGTTGTAACCGTTCCATTTGGTGCTAAACAGGATCAAATAAATGAATAAATTTGATTATTTATATATCTTGATAATATATTTTATTTGATTTGAAATAAAACACAAAGAAAAAGATATAACAATTTCCTTACATTTAATATCAACTTCTAATTTGATGTCGAAATTGCAAGCATCATTGTGACGAAGATATGGAAAGGGAATTGGATCTTGTTGATTATTGGCAATTCTAAATGGTTCCAAAGCTTCCATTGTTACTATCCATGGAGAAATGGATGTCCCAACATTTTTCGAACAAAATGGACCGAGTGGAACGTATTCCCATTTTTGTATATCCCTTGCTATTAAAGAAAGTAATAGAATATTTATATAAGTTTGTTTTATATGATTATGATAAAAAAAAAAAAAAAGAAAAAAGAAAAAGAAAATGTCTGTCGAAATTTTTTTTACCGCTCCAATCGTTCATCAAAACCATGCCAAATATATAATCATAAGCATTTTCAGCAGTAATTGCGTCCCCTAAATTACTTGGTGGTCCTCCAACGAAGAATGCAACTTCCAATTCGAAATCCATCAATTTTGATGGACCAAACGCGGGATCTGCTCCTTCGACCGGAAGTGTTTGACCACGTGGCCTTCTAATTGGTGTACCGGATATTACGACCGAGCTGGATCTACCGTGATATCCAACCGGAAGGTATTTCCTGTGTTCATAATTTTGCTTTTTCAAAATCCTGTTTTTTTTTCTCCCTTTTTTTTTATTTTTATTTTTATTTTTATTTTTATTTCTATTTTTATTTTTTCAAATTTCTTTATTAATTCTTTTGACGAATTCTACGTAATCACTGTGTGATGTATGTCACTGTATAATTACCAATTAGGGAACAAAGCATGATTTTTGTCACGAAACATGGCACCTACGTTTGTGGCATGATGTATGGACGAATAAAAATCGGTATAATCGCCTATTTTAGCTGGCAAATGCATCGTAGCTGATTCTTGTTTAACGAAGATTCTAAAAAAATTTTTTTTTAATTTTTTTGCTTTTATTTTATATATATATATATATATATATATATATATATATATATATAATTCATATCCTCTCACTTGCTACGAAGTTTTTCTTCTTGTAAAGTTGGAGTAGTGTTTGATAATAAATATTGTAATTTTGTTCTTGCTTCGAGCCATGCTGGTCTTCCCAAAGCCATGAAATCATTAAGGTAATCTTTAAGAAAGACATCCTGTTTGTCTTTCAATAATGGTCCATCAAAGAGATGTGCTATTTGACTTAGATCTAATATCTCTTCGCCGATTGCCACCCCTATTCTTTTATTCGGCTAAAATAATATTATTTGTTTGATATAATTAATTTCTTTTCGAGTTTTATCGATCAACATTCCATGATATAATTATTTTATTAATACGTAATCGATAAAAATATACTCACGTGTACATAGGTACACACGTATAAAATTAAATACGTATGTATGTGTAAATACGCGTCTATAATCTGTATTATATATTCGATAAATTCAAAATATTGTTTTGTATAGCTTTCAATGTTTACATTTCTAAACGCGTATGTATATATTGGAAATGTGTATATAGGCGTAACTACAAAAGGTCGTAAGTAAGGACAATGTTAAAGGTCGTTACATATAAATCGTTCGTTTCTTATTATTCCATTATTGTACGTCGTCATGTTAACACGCATTTCGTCTAATATCTCTCGTGAAAAGTTTTAATTCGTTGAAAAGATTTTGTTCTCTCAATTTAACATTTAACATTAACATAATTAAATAGATTTTATTAATTATTGGATGGATCTTCGTCGACAACAATCTAAACACGGTGGATCTTGGTAAATCGATTTAATTAATAACTATTTTTCACAATTTACAATTAGTATTCGATGATTGATTTATTCCGAATGGAAGTTCGTATTTAATTTTATTAATATTTTCTTTTATTCTATAATTTTATATATTTTATTATTTTATTTTATTTATTACAGTTATTATCAGCCGTCGATAATATAGATCGCTACGTTTACAAAGTTTTTTAAATACTTTCTTTAAATAGAATTTGAAACATTTTACTTACGTAATTGTGATTAACATTTAGTCGATAATACAGATATTTTTATCGACGGTCGCTATATTATACTTATATATGTATATTATTTAAGTAGAATTATAGATGGCAGATTTGTAGAAGAAAAGGTTCGATTGGTAAATGCGTTTTGAGATAATGATATTTCATGATTATAGATTAAAATAAGAAATTTCTAGATATCTCGTTGAGATATTTCAACGCATATTTATTGTTGTTAGAAATTATTATATGCATCGTCGATAAGATTTTACTTACGTAAAAGATAACTTTATCGTATGGTAAAAGATATAACATAACCTCAAATGATTCAAATCGATCAGATAATTTAAATAATTATTATTTACGTAGATAGATAAGATTAGAGACGAAATATATATGATGTAAAACTTACCTTATCTACCGTAGAAAATATACCATAAGGAAGATTTTCGATAGGATAATCACTATT